ATTGCCCCTTGCTGCGCCTCGTGTTGCAGCGGTGCCCCGGACCCCTCTTCTCTGAGCGGTGCCCGGAGCCGCCTCCCTCCTCCCTGCCACGGGGTTGGCGTGGTTTTCTGTATTTTCATATCCTACCGGTGGAACACGGGCTTTCAGCTTTCTCAGTTAAATAAGCTGAGCGCTATGTAGCTAATTGTGTGAGATCTTAACAGCTAAGCTCCTAGTTTCTCATCGTGAAGGCTGAAGTTCCTTGCTGCACAGTCTCTGTGTGTGTTTCGTTTGCCTGGCTTAATGACCAAAATTTCCTCCTCTTCGGTGTGTGGTGTGGCTCTCTCCTCCTTGGAACTGGCTGCATTTGGTGATGTAGATTTTATTAATGCTTAGCATTTTGCGAGATTAATATGCTGTGTAAATACACACCAAATATGGAATATTAATTTTCTTGTATATTTAATCTATCTCTATCAAAATGTAATAGTTTGTTAGTCTCTTTAGGAAGAGAGAAAATTGAGTTGACTTATTGTTTCTATTGTAGCTGTAGCTTTGTTGGTCTCAGGCTATTAGACATGAATGAAGTAATATATTTTATTGGACCAGCTTTTCTTTCTTCCAATATTTTTGTAGCACAACATTCTACCTCTGCAATCTTGTCTCAACTGACTTTTATGGCAAGTGTGTCTTAAAATAAGCTTGTTTCACTACTCTTGTCATACAGGAAAACAAGATCTCAATTTGGTCTGTTGGAGACTTTGGAAATGTGGGCACCAGTGGGGAGTATCAAGGAGAACCACAGTTGCTGTGCGATATCAGACACCATGGTGATGTTATGGACATGCAGGTAAAATAGTTATATCCAGTAGCTGTTTTTTTTCCCTTTCACTTTGTTAGAAAATGTATCAGTAGGATATCAGAATATTGAGAATCAACCAATGTCTGCTAGGGGGATATTGTCTAAATACAAAAAAATTATGTTTGGAAATTTATATGTACATTCTGAAATTATCTAGCAACCAGTAAGACTGCTTGCAGATTCACATAGTAATGCTTCTGTGATAATGTGCTCAAACTGTGTAACAAGCTGAAGATATTTCTCTTTAGTTTTTTGACCAGGAGAGAATTGTAGTTGCTTCATCAACAGGAAGTGTAACCATTTTCCGTCACCATCAAAATAATCAGGTAAATAATTTGTTGTGGACATAATTTTCTCTTGGTTTCAGTTACTGTTGCTTCTAGTACAAGTTTTTTTGGGGCTCTCAAATGCATGACTTTTCAGAACTATCAAAACATAACGCAGCTGAACTCAATTAGGGATATAAGCGACTAGTCAACTACCCGATATACATAAGCTTATCAGATAGTCAAGTAGTCACTCGACTAGTTGCTTCTCCCCCCTCCTAAAGCCAGATGGCCCCAGCACTGTCTCCACTGAGTAGCAGGGGAGGCAGAGGCATCCCTACTGTTGCATGCCTCTCTGAAATGTACAAGAGCCACTTGCGGTTCTTGTACATTTAAAGGGAGAGGCGCAGCGGGATTGCAAGTGCCCCCTGTTATCGACTAATTGAGCAGTTGATGGGAACTCCATCAGCTACTTGATTAGTTGATTAATCAAAATTTAATATCTCTAAACTCAATAAGTTCTAAATTCAGTAAATCAGGAATTAGGTTATTTTTTAAAAAATGTGTAGAATAGTCTGATATAGGGATGTAACTGTATAATTGTTTACACGTTTAACTGATAGGCCTGGACTATCGATTACCATTAATGATTACGCGCAGACTCCTGCCTTGCTCCCGGGGAGCTAGCTGTCACTCCACACTGATGGCTCTGTATCAACAGTTACACAATTACCCAGTTACCCCTTTTTAACACTCCTAGTAACAATTTGTCTTATAAACTTTCCTAAATGGTGAACTTTATTATAAACAGTATATAGAAGTTCATGAGGTGTATTAAGTCTAATTAATAAACAAAATAATGAGGGCATGGGGTATTCCACCCTTCATTCCTTTTTTGGGGGCATTTAAGAGAGAACTGTGTGTGGGGATGGGACGGGGGAGGGAGAGACAAACAAAGTTGACTGGAGCAAGACCTCATGGCTTCTACCCTACCCCCATTGTCTTCTGTACCCTGATGCATGTTTTTTTGGGGGGGAGGGGGTGTTTGTGGGATGTGGGTTTTTTGGGGGTTTTTTTTGTTTGTTTTCCTAAACCCGATGGTGGTTCTGATTGAGGAATGTGCATTGGTAGAGCCCTGCATGGATAGACATTACTATCTGCAGATGCAGATATTTGTGGCTAGACATTGTGATCCACAGGGCTATATTACCAAGAGCCACTGTGGCCAGTGGAGAGAAGTGTTACATGGTTGCACGCTCTGAGACAGCAGCTTCTCCCAGGAGCACAGCTGCATCAGCTCTGCTCCCGGCCGTTCCTATCTAAGGTTGAACAATCCTTCTGGGCACGGTATAATTGTTCTGCTGGCGCAGGATGCTGACTCCCAGGTGCTGTGAGATAATGTTCCTGTCTATTGGTCACACTGACTCTTAAGAATAGAGCACTGAAAGATCACTGTGTCTGTCCATGGATATTCACATCTGCTGATAGAAATGTCTATCTGCACAGGACTCTATGCATTGGTGATTAAAAAGGAAAGCTATCCTCTGATCTGTAATGATGTGAATGACTCTTGAAATAATGCAGTGTGCTTTGTTTATTTCAGAACTAGTTTCTGATCTAACTTCTTTACATATTTCAAAAGCTTTGGTTTCTAACGCTGTTGCAGGATTGTTAATTAGCACTGTTGATACAGTCTCTTTATTTACTGCTTAGACTTTATCTATTAATCAACGATGGGAGAGGGCTCATTATCATGTGGATCCGGATATCCCTTTCTGTGGTGGAGCTTCATGTACAGGGGTCATCTGCAACAATCCAGAAATTGTCACTGTTGGAGAAGATGGTCGAATAAATCTTTTCAGAGCTGACCACAAGGAGGCTGTGAGAACTATAGGTAAGCCTAATAACCACTTTTTAACAAATGGGGTCTAAAGAATTTATCTGTACTCACAAGATGACCAACAAAAAAAGAAATAGCTAGTAACTTCAGAATTGTTCTGAATGTCTCAATAGAATCTGTAATGAGCAATACACTGGATCTAGAATATTTGCTATTTTACACTGCATTTAATCAATGCAAAAAATTCAGGCTTAGAACTACCTGCACGCATGCTTTTTTCACAGCTTCTGCAGTCTTGCATTATTTGTCAGTTCTTTAAAATATATTTAAAAATATTTCCTTTTGAAACATAATTATCAAGATCTTGACCATAAGTGGTCAGTATGAACCCATTCTTCTTTCAGAGATGGTTTTTCTTTGTTCTGGACAAATTCCAATTTTTGTAATTTTGTTTTGTTAGCTTCTGGTATTACGTTGGTCCTTGAGTTCTCTTGCAATTTTTTTGTGGTTCTGCGGTTTTCTCTGTTTGTGGGACACCCTTATTTGTACAGAAGAAACAATCCTCATAAGAGGCGAAATATATGAAGTAAACTGAAAAATATTTTTTCTCTAATTTTTCTGTAATAATAATACTGGATCAGTCCCTCACTTAAATATCTAACAGATTTTCAGATACATGTGTGTAGGAAGAGGTTAGGTAACTTTTCTTTACTTCTCAGGCAATGTTCCTTCTAATGTTTTATGGTCCGTGTACGGAATGCATTTTGTGTTCTCCAATACAGAAATGATGTGTGACACAACATGTCCATATTGGTGCATATAAATTCCGTGCACATTCTGCCTACTTAATAATCTTACTGTTAAAAAGCAGCTGCAATATAGGATTATTTACCATTCCATTCCTAATCGGGGGAGGGTGGAGGATTTTCTGTTTAGCTGATATGTTCAACATATGCTAAGCAGTCAGAGTGCTATATTCTCTCTCTCTCTCTCTCTCAAAAAACAAAAACAAAAGCTTTTCCTGCCACATGACAGGATGATGTCATCAGGCTCTCTGGCCATGAAAGTGGGGGATTGGCGAGCATAGCAAGCGGGGTTTTCATGACCAGAGAGCAAGGAGTTGGTGAGCTGAGTAAGCAGGGAGCATCCCCTAGTGTGACAATATTTGTATTAAAATCTACTGCACAACAGGGGATCTTAAAAAAAATATTTCCCTGGCCTTTTTAATGAAGGGACAGAATATGTGTTAAAAAGAAAAGATGTGCTAGGAAGGATTTTCTTTAAAGGAAATTTGTGCGTATGAGCTAGTCTGTGAAACTTGTCTTAAGTGACACTCTGTGAACCAGCATCATATGCTTCTTTGGTATGGACAAAGGAGATGTGGACGTGGGGAAGTGAGAGGATATTTTGGAATGGTCTCAAGATGGGGTTCTTTATAGAAAAAGGCCTTCAATGTGTATTTCGCTTTGAAATTTCACTAAATAATATGGACTAGAAGTTGAGCTTATTAAAACTGTAATTGGGCAACTGAGTTAACTGCTATTATAAGTTAATTATAAATAAGGACATTGAATTTTACGTAGCATTTTGCTCAAGTAGGTATTGCATCTCTACTTCTGATTAAATAGACTACAAAGTTACTATCTTCAAAAGCAAAGCTAGAAGGGGAAGTCCATGTAAATACTTGAGACCAATATTCAGTAATGCTAAAAAGGTGCAAGCGTTCTAAATTCTTCTAGTAGTTCAGTATTTGCTGAAGTTTTAATGGAATTGGGTTTTCCTGGGTTTGTGCAGTATGCATAATGTCATCTAGTTCACTTTTTTTAAAGAACATTCTTTCTATTTTCAGTTGAACACATAAGCAGAAAAATACAAATATTTCTTGGATTTTTGTTTAATCTTATCGAGCTTACCTGAACCAAATAGCTATCGTGTTTAAGTACTCATTTAAATGAAGGTGTTCTTAAGTATGAATTACCAAGCACTATGCAAAAGCATCTAAAAAGGAGACCAGCATGCTTTTCATATATATTATTTCACCACAGTGTAAAACAAAGTATGTGCAATATAGAAAATAAGTTAATGAGACCAAGTAGCATAAGTCTAAATTAGAGCACTTTTTTTTTTTTAATAAACACCCTATTGCAAAGCAATGGAGCAGGCCACAGACACTGACTTCCTTTTGTCAATCACTTGTAGTAAACCTTTGCAAGAAAAAAAAATCACTTCTGATTCTTCTAAAAAAACTCAATTTAGGGATGTAAGCGACTAGTCAACTAGTGATGGCGAGTATGGCGATAAGCATAAGCTTATCGGATAGTCGACTAGTGATGGCAACTAGTTGCTTCCCTACCTTGCTACCTCTATGAGAGAGAGGCAGCAAAGGTGGAGAGCAGGAGCCAGTGCTGGAGGGAGCCACTTTAAAAGCTGTTTTTTTCCCCCCAGCACTGTCTCTGCGAGAGGCATGGGAGATAAAACCACAGCAGGGACTGAAGCAGTCTCCACTTGAGCCAGTTCTGCTGTGATTCTGTTTTTGAAAAGTACAAGAACCCCAGTGGAATGTTGCTACGCTTCAAAGGCAGAGGCACCCATCTCAGCTAATCGAATAGTCGATGAAAATAGACTGTTCGATAAGTTAATCTAAATTGAACATCCCTAACTCAATTTAGAAAGCACAGACTAACCACCTCACTGTCAGAGAAATGTACGTTCTGTAGAGCATCTATATCTTTTCCTATGTACATTCAGGTATAACTTAATTTTTATAAACCACAAATAAAGTCAGTAACAATAAAATTTTACATTTAATTTTACAATCCTTCAATAACTTTTGTTTTGAACAAACTCGTAGGAGGGAATTCAATTTAGGGAAATGACTCTCTTGATAGTCTTAGGGAGAAAGTATAACACTACAAACAAATTGTGAACATAGAGGATATAGCTAGAGCATATTGGAAAAATAATTAAAAATAAAAGGAGACCATGTTCTTAGCAGTGAGTTTCAAGAACAAACTCTTTGAAAACTAGTTAAGTTAAATCTGCAGGTCGGTGAGTTTTTAACGGGCAAAAAGAGAATAGATAATAATAGTGCAAACACTTTGCTTAAAACTATGTGACTAATCAATCTTTTCTTATTCCCTTCCTCTTGCAGAAAATGCAGACAGCAGTACACTCCATGCTGTGACCTTCCTTCGCACAACTGAGATTTTGACAGTAAATTCAATTGGACAGTTAAAAATATGGGACTTCAGACAGCAAAGAAATGAGCCATCTCAGATATTTTCCTTGTAAGCTTTCTATTTTCAGCTTTGATTTTCCAGGAAATGCGTTTTAAACAAGAAAACAAAGTCTATTGCTTATAAATGTCTTGAACTATACTTTCTTGATAACAGACGGTACACAAATGAATTCAGATATTGTAATGGAACTTAGAAGATGGCAGTGTTTACATTTAGAGAGAATTTTTCTTGCATGTCTGAATTGGGCATGTAATCAAGTAGTCAACTAGGTTTATCTGTTAATCATGTTGACTACTTGTTTCCTCCACCCCTTGCTCTGTATCGGAGGCAGGAAGCGGAAGCAGGGGAAGGGAAGCAGGAGCTGGCTTAAAAGCTGGTTTCCCCCCAGCACCATTTCCGTGGTGCTACCTGTCCTACTCCACTTCTGTTAGAGGCAGCAGCATCGGGGATGGGGGCACGGGAGGCTTGGAGCATGCTGGGACCCCTTGGAGACAGGGGCTGCTGCTACAAAGCAGCTCAGCTCTTACTACATTTAAAATTTAGAGCCGTGGCGAAGGTAGGTCCCAGACCTGGCATGATCTGGGACTGAGCTGTGCTGTTTTCCCATATCAACTAATTGAGTAGTCAATAGAATTTTTGATTGCTTGAGTAGCAAGTTAACCACATCTTAACATCCCTATTTTGAATAAACTGAATTTCTGGTTATCACTGTCTAAAATTTGGCACATTTAGCCTTCAGAGTGCTTTATGAACATTAATTTTCTGTGTTTCATGAGGTAGGTAAGAAATTTAGATTTAGGCCTAATGAAAATTCCACTGATGTCAGTGGGGAATCAGGCTTACCAAGTGTGTGAGTGAGTGACTCTCTTTGCAACCTGTGTTAAACTTGCATTCCTAATTTTAGTTGTAACATCCCATTGTAAATATAAGTGTACCTATATTTTTTACCCCCAAGCACCCTTACACTTCTAATGAAGTCCTTATTAAGCTTTTGTAGGTGATCAGTAATAAGCCACAAGTTACAAACCTGGTGCTTGTCTAATTAGAAGTACAATAAGTAAGTTGGAGTGTGTGTCAAATTGTTCTAAACTTAGTAAGTTACTTGAAATTATACAACCCACATAATTTATTGTGATCCGAGAGTGTTGTGTTTTGGAAGTAAAAAATTGTTTAATGGAAAATTACTTTTATTTTTCCCCGCTCACAGGACAGGTGACAGAATTCCACTACACTGTGTTGACAGACATCCCAACCAGCAGCATATTGTAGCTACAGGTGGCCAAGATGGAATGTTGAGTATCTGGGATGTTAGACAAGGCAGCATGCCAGTGTCCCTGCTCAATGCTCATGAAGCTGAAAGTAAGCATCTAAAGAGAAACAGATACTGGGTCTCTCTTTAAGTATTTGTATATTTTTGGACAAGATTTTAACATTGCTTTTTTTATATTGTACCTACTACATTTTTGTTCATCCAAACTGTTTGCTTCTAGGCTTATTTTTTGTCTAACAGCAGCTAGTTATTACAGTCTGTTGTGACTAACTAAAAGCCTAGTCCAACAAAAAAAAGAATTGAGAAAGTGATGATTGTGGTTTTGATTTTTTGTCAAAATGGATTTTATAACTTCTTTGAACGTACATTGCTCTGTGTTTCTATAAGAATTACTTATTTGTGGTCCTTCTAGCTTGTCTAACACCTATTCGTAGTTGATAGGAATCACATGAGAACAGAGCAGGATTATAGTACAGGTTTCACCCCTATAAACTGTGACTCTCTGGTCTGGCAGCGTCTGTAGTCCTGCTGTTCCAGGATCAGAGAGTACCAGCTCACTGCAGCGGTTGAGGGGGTTGGGAGCCCAGTGTGCTGCAAGGGGGCAGGAAGAGCCCAGCATGCTACAAAGGGGGAACAGGGCCCAGGAGCCCGCGTGATGCAGGGGCGAGAACAGCATATCTTCAGATATGGGTACATTTTTTCAAAAACACCTACATCATTTATGAGTGTAAATCCTTTGACTTTCAGTGGACTGAAGTGTGTTTGGTTTTTTTGTTTTGTTTTGTTTGGTTTTTTACTTTTTATGACTCAACTTAGTTTATGGAGAAAATATGCATTTGTTATACTGCTTAATTTGTATGGGGTGAGAGGCCAGGAAAAATGCTACAAGTTCCCTTTATATCCATTATATTGAATATACAACTAGGCTGTTAGTACAATATTATGCTTCAGATTTTACCATAGTAAGGTATGGTTCTTTCAGGAAGGAACCCCAAAGTTATATGTCTTTCACAACCCTACCTGAGCTATAGTGAGTACCGTCTCGATAACGTGGCTCTGGTGGTCTTTCTCTTTCCATTGTTCCCAATAATGATAAAAGATTATGCAAGTATTGTAATGTTATTTCTTGCTTACATCTGTCCTATCCTGTCTTTCATTAATTTGCCCTGGGTTTCCCCCATTAGCGCAAACTGAGGTCCTACTATATCTTGCATTTGTTTTCCAACACTTCTTGTGTGACGCTTCATAAAAGTTCATAATGTGGTCTGTTCTGATACAACGGGGTTTTTAAATGTATTGCTCTTTAAGCAAACTAAATTTTGGTCTGGCTGGTCACAGGTAACTTCAACATTAAAGTAAACAGAGGAAAGCATTTAATCTTAAGGAAGTACATGTAGCTGAGTTAATGCATTCATTCTAATTTTCTTGTCCTTTTTCCTTTCTTGGGTTTTGTGTGGGGTGTGGTTGATTTGTGGGGTTTTTTGTTTGTATTGTCTACACTTTTAGATAGTATCTTTCTAGGAGCTTTGTAGATCAACTTCAGAGGAGAGAAGAGACGCAGTGAAACAGGAGAAGCAGTGAAACTAGATATACATAATGCACGATATAAACCAGGGAGAAACTTTTTTAGTCTTTCAACTAAAGTACTCAGAAGTGATATTTAGAACAGTGACAGTTAAACTCCATGACTGATTCAACTTTTAAGGTCGGGAGGGACCTCAGATCATTTTGCCTGACCTCCAGTATCTGTCATGGTATCAACACAACCCTCTACCTACACATTAAATCCAACAGTCAAAATGAGACCAAAGTATTATAGCTCACAGGAGACTAAGCTGCCAATGTGCCACTGAGAGGAAGAGGGACTAAGGTGAACATGCACCCAAAGTTCAAGACCTCCACAATGACAGAGAAATGATTGCAAAAGAAGTGAGGGTTTGTGGGCTTTTTATTACAAATATTTTATTGTTTGTGTTTTGGTTTGGAAGACTTTTTTTTTTTTTTATTTTTTTTTTTTTAAGTTAAGACTGAAAAGCTCTAGAGATCGTTCATCTCCAGTACATTGAATGAGGAATTGCACTGAATACCTTGATTTGTAGTTTGTTTCTCAGAAAATTAAACTCTGTGATATCATTGCAATATAGATTGTTTTTTATATAATCATGGGTAATAAACTTGAATTTCTTGACTTTTGTAGTGTGGGAAGTGCACTTCCATCCGTCCAACCCAGATCACCTATTTACATGTTCTGAAGATGGCTCTCTTTGGCATTGGGATACCTCTACAGATGTGTCAGAAAAGCCATCTTTTTTCCATCAAGGTAAGGATTTTTGAAGTAAGGAAAGCTAACATCTTAGGCTGAGATTATGCAGACTAGTTATAGTTCATTAAGTAATTGGCTTGAGGACACTACTCCATGCTCTGTTCATTTATATCAAAGGCTGTTGAAGATGGAAATATGATCTCCTATTAGAAAGAGAAGAGTGTACAGGTTCTCTTGAGGAGAATTTCAGTGGTTTCACTTGTTTCCCTAAATACTACCTCCTATCTGATGTGACTGTGCTCATCAACAGATATTCAAGGGGTGCACCTAGAATTTTCACAGCTAAATCCAGATGACTTTAAAAAAATAATAGAATTATTGATTTGGAAGGGCAATAAATGCCATATAACTGTGTATCTTTGAGGGAGACTTCAAGAATGACATACATAAGGAAACCAAAATATGACTAAGGGAACTCTTAATTGCGCAAATACTTTAGAGCAGGGGTTCCCAACCTTTTTGATACAGGGACCAGTACATCCATTCGCAAGCTTTTGGAGGACTGGTAATATTCATGTGGCATATTCATTAAGCAAATGATGAATAGTCAAGTACAGGCAGTCCCCGGGTTACGTACAAGATAGGGACTATAGGTTTGTTCTTAAGTTGAATTTGTATGTAAGTCGGAACTGGCTCCAGATTCAGCCGCTGCTGCTGAAACTGACCAGGGGCTGACTACAGAAGCTGGAGGCAGAATTGCTCTGCCCACAGCTTCCTGGAATCACCCACTGATCAGTTTCAACAGTGGCTGAATCTCGAGCCTCGGACAGAACAGCTGGGCTGCCAGGTAGGTCCCTGCAGGACCAACCTGGCAGCACCCCAGCTGCTCTACCCCAGGGTCCACAACAAAAGCCTGGTTTGCTGTGGGGGGAGGGGGGGCGGCGCACTAGCTGCGCCCCCTCCCCCCAGCAGACCAGGGAGACCTGAGCAAAGCCGCAGAGGCCCAACGCCGCGGTCCCGCCCGCATCCTCCGAGGCTTTGGGCCAGGGAGACACGGAGCAGCTTTTCTCGCGGCTTTGCTCCGGGTGTCCCTGGTCTGCTGGAGACGGTCCCCAGCAGACCAGAGGCACCGGGAGCAAAGCGGCAGGACCGTCTCCAGCAGACCAGGGACACCGGGAGCAAAGCCGCAGTGGTGGTGGAGTCCCGCGCTTCTGAGGCTTGTCCTAATTTTTTGAGTGGAAAATTTTACTTCCATGAAAAAAATATACTTACAACATGGAAACTTGTAGAAACAACACATTAGAGTAGCTAAACATAGGGAATATATTCAGATTTACTTGTGACATAACCTCATTCCCCTTGCTCAAAGTGTCGATTGATGTCTTTATAGGGTAAAGCTGATGTAACTAGGAGACTAAAATAATAAATCTAGTTGCACTTGGCTTGACAGTTTATCAGGTTTGCCAATTACATACCCTGAGTTTCAAACAACTATTTTTTTCTCAGTCCATGACTTCCTTCATTTTTAATCTTGTAATGAAATTATAATTCCAGTGTGTGAAACTTGTTGACTCTGGTTTTGGTATGGAGAGAAGTAGTCCAAAACCTGATATTTATTATTTGTAAAGAATGAACAGGATTGGAGGGATGATTTGGATCACTGTCTTAAAGACAAACCTAAAGCAGTAATAAAGAAAAATGCTGTCTAAGCAAACTACTTGCACAGGTCCAGCTTGCATGTGGTGTGAATGTTAATTAATCAAGAGGTTAGTGTATCTAATACATGGTATAGTCATTTCTCATTGTAGACTAACTACTATACATTACTTAACTGACAGAAGTAATGCAAAATATTTTTGGTCTCCTGGGCTGTGTCCAGACTCAGGGGTTTTTTTCGGGAAAAGTAGCCTTTTTCCGAAAAAACTTCACCTGCATCTAGACTGCAGCCGCGTTCTTTCGAAATTAAATCGAAAGAACGCAGCTTTTCTTTCGACGGCGGTAAACCTCATTTCACGAGGAAGAACGCCTTCTTTCGAAAGTGCTTCTTTCGAAAGAAGGAGTTCTTGAATGTAAATAGGGCTTCTTCGAAAGAGAGCATCCAGACTCACTGGGTGCTTTCTTTTGAAAAAGCGGCTTGCTCTTTTGAAAGTTCCGCGTGCAGTCTAGACGCTCTCTTTCGAAAGAGGCTCTTTCGAAAGTATCTTTCGAAAGAGGCTCTTTCGAAAGAGGCTTGCAGTCTAGACATAGCCCTGGAGACTCAACTAAACCCATCAAATCAATTCAATCTGGAACTTAGCCTTAGATTGGTATTCCCAATATTTTGGCTGGATGCTTAATATGCTACCTCAATGCAGAGTCTAAATAAATCAAAATTAAAGCTAACCTATTTTGTTTGTGTGGTTTTGTTTTGTTTTTAAGGTGGAAGAAGTATTACAGTTCTGTCTCACACGGCTAACCAGTCTGTAATAAGTGCCTGGCTAAACAACAATCCTACCAAAGACCGCATGGAGATCACCAATTTAGTTCCAAATCAGACGTTATCTGTGAATAGTTTGGATGTTTTAGGACCCTGTCTAGTATGTGGTACTGATTCAGAAGCCATTTATGTTAATAGGCACCTCTTTTCTTGAATATACTTTAAAGGACACTCTTGAGTTTAACCACCTCAAAAACTAGTAGGAAAGGTCCTAAGTATTCCAGGTTTTTTTAAAAAAATAAAGCCTGGTAACACAAGGGCCTATAACGTAGTCCTAGTAGTGCAGAGGGACAAGCTACATAAGGCTCTTGAGAACTTTTCCATCACCATAGATGCTTATGCATCCAGTGAATGAAACAACAGTTAGCATACATTATTAAGTACAACGTTCTTTATTCCCAACTGCCTTTTGCACTTCTTACTTGGCAAGCATAAAAACAATCAGTAGTGAAATAAATGGTATTTTAAATATAGTGTTATAAGGGTGTTACAGTAGCTTAAAAGTGTGAAATACTTGAACTCTGTTAATGTTCATGCTATTGTAATAATACTCAAGTATTTTGTTCAGGGCCAAAACTTAGGTTCTTTTAAAGACAACCTAATAGAAATATTATTACTTTTAACTTGACATTTTTATATCTAAACATTCCCATGCAATTGTTATGCTGCTGCATGTCAACTAGAAGGGGAAATTGAATTTAATGGAATGTAGAAAAGATTGTTTAAATGGTGGATAGTTAAGTCCCATAAGTCTAAAAATCTTGGAGCTGTAATAATCTAAGACAATGCTAATAGCACTGGTAAGGGCAGGTTAACGTTTGATATAGACATTATGCCTATACACTTTTGATCTGTAGAAAAATTATGTTTATAAGTTAGTCTTTATTGGTGCTAGACAGACATCTGACAAGCATTATCCTGTTATGGTCAAGTTCAGATAATAAAGCATTCTTGACAAAGCTTCAGTCATGAGTTTTCTCAAAATTGATGGATTACTAAATCTAAGTGTTGCCAAACAAAACTCTCATAAAAGTGCCTAACACATGAATAACTTATGTCTAGCTTTTATAACAAGGAACCCTTTCTGCAATGTTTTTAATAAATGTGTGTTTTTCCACCAGAATTCTATTTACTCATTCTTATTGTTTATCTTTGACTTTTTATAATAAGCTAAATTTGGCCATTTTACAGGTTTAGTTCAGTGTCATTGCAGTTAACTGATAGATTATGTTCCCATTACACTTCTGGCCCTTAGGAGCTTCATTGCTGTCCTCCATTCTTGTTTATTTCTGGCAAGTCTTGTAATATTTTCCCTGCCTGTGCCCAAGTTTTTTAGCTTTGCTTCCACAACTCTTCATAATGTTGCTCTCAAGCAACCTTGTTTTCACTTGCCTTCAGAGGTTTCTCGTTGCTACTCTGGTAATGGAATTAGTTTCCATCTGAAGTTGATCTTAATATGCAGCATGTGCACTTTAAGGCCCCACAGTATGGTTCTACACTGGAACAAGGGTCCACTGGTACAGATTAGCATGTGTGATTGGGACTGAATAGCTTGAGTTCTCAGGGGTGTAAAGCCACCTCCTAGTTCTGTTGTCCTATCAGTCCATAGGTATATTGGAATATCTTCATCCGGGCAAATGATGAATAGCTAGCTTTTCAGCAACACAATTCACCGTTTGAGTGATTACATAGCTGTAAAGTTATAAAGCCTATGATATTGTCCAGAGGTAAAACTATAGGACAGTCATACATTCTGACTTCTATTCTGCTGATTTGCGTTGTGGCTCTGGGACAGTCACCCTTCTATGCAACTTTATTTCTAAAAAGAGTAATTTTATAAATCAAGGTGAACTGCTTGACAGGATAAAACTAAGAATTAGAAGACCGTACTTCATAGTTCTGCCTGTGATTTGATATGGGCAAGTAATATCTCTGTTTGTTTTATTATTTATAAAATAAGGCCAATCGATTTTATTTACCTTTTGTAAAATAGTTTGAGCTCTATGAAGAAAGATGACTGTGTGGAATACAAGTGTTAGACAGTAAAACATTAGCTCTTTCTAGCATTCAGGCTCACTGTATAACATGACGGTTGATTTGTCAACTGATACTTCTATGTGTGACTCATTACATGCACTTGTTAGGAACAGCTACCTCGCAGTGGTGAAAATTCTTGAAGGTTGGGTTCCATCTATACTCTGTATTTCTTTTTGTACCAGTATATGTACATCATTGTAGCTATATACTCGTGCAAACCCCTAATTTATACATTCTCCCCTATTGTAAAGGATAATATGTACTATTGCAGTTTACCTATAAAAGATGCACTTGTACACGTTGAAATGATTTGTAGATAGACTGTCTGCTATCAGTCTTTGTAAATCCCAACTGGGGACATGACTACAGATCTAGGATCAAGATAGAGATCATAGTGTAAGCATAAGCTTCTCTGCCACCAAATAACCACAGGAAAACTGGAGAGTATTCTGCATAATAGAAGAGAGAGTGCACCACTTAAATAAAATGCCTCAATTATAATTAAAACAGCTGTCCTTTTGACCATCTGCAGGTTTTGACAGGAAACTTTAAAACACTTTAAAACATGTTTATATTAAATAATTGGACATTTGTAGAATGCATAGGAAAGATTGACTTTCAGAACTGTAAGGCACGTTATTTTTCTGTTCTTTAAAGGTAACCTACAGAAAAGCGGATGGAGGAAGATATGTTTTGTTTTTCTGTTTCATGTAAGAAGTGCTGAAAGATGGGGTTAGGGATGGAGATGGAGAGATGTCTTAATTTTGCTAGCTTCGGGGGTAGCCAAGTTAATCTGTACAGGAAAGAACAACAAATGGTCTGGTAGCACTTTATAGACTAACAAAACATGTCGATGGTATCATGAGCTTCCGTGGGCACAGCCCATTTCTTCAAACTCTGGTCATCTGAAGAAGTGGGCTGTGCCCACGAAAGCTCATGATACCATCTACATGTTTTGTTAGTCTATAAAGTGCTACCAGACCATTTTGTTGTTTGTTTTTTAAATTTTGCTAGGTTTTCTTAAAATGGGAATTCAAGTCTTGTCTAAGCTGGAATGCTCTGATACCTGGAGAAATAGTGAAAAGAATATCAGCAAAAAAGGAGAAGAATTTTCTAATTGCCTTTCAAAACTCTTAAACAAGTTTTACACAAGAGAAAAAATGAACTTAAATGAGTTTGAATAGAAGTCTTAGACTTAACACCCTAGGCCAGGGGTGTCCAAACTTTTTTCAAAGAGGGCCAGATTTGATGAAGTGAACATGCGTGAGGGCCGACCATTTTGCCTGACATTCTTTGAACCATTAAAATTAAATGCAAATTAACTATTTTATGCAAAGTTTATTGCAAACGGCATACTTTTCATTTCGTCACATGGATGACAAATCTAAACAGGTGTTAAATCACTCTGCCTTTCATATCTGAAGACCAGATGAAAAAAAAAATCCAGGAAGCTGAAATATATGTCAGGAACATTGTAAAGTACATTACATATTATTGGTAATAACGGTTGTCTGTCAACTTTTAAGTTCAAAAAATATGAACAGGAACATAACACCAAGTATACATGTTGTGTCCAAATATATTTATAACTGATTTAGACCAACTGACATTAACTGAGATTTTACAATGTATTCATCTCAATACATATGGATTCGTTGGGGGCCATAAAAGATAGATATTGCCAAATTACCTGGGGGGCCGTATTAAACCGGAACATGGGCCGCAATTGGCCCGCGGGCCGAACTTTGGACATGCCTGCCCTAGGCCCTTCAATTAAGATGGTCAGTGCTTATAGTAATTTAACGCTTCCTGCTGGTCCTCTAAAAACCAGATTTCACGTTTCTGGTATTTCTAAGGTTAAGAAGGCCAAACTGCTTTTTTTTAAAACTTGTCATAGTTCCTTTTTCATGTATTTTTGAATTATTAGATACTTCATAATTATTTTGCAGATTACTGTAAAAAAAAATATGCCTAATAGCAACTTAAAAGGCTGCTCTCTTCCTGTGCATTGCAGTGATGAAGTTCATTTTCTATGGTTCAACCTATTTTCCACCAGTAGTAGACTGAACCATCAACACCTCTGCTTTCTCCCCTTCCCTCCCCCCCCAAAAAAATAATTCTCACCTAAATAGTCTTACCATTCATAATAAAGGGAAGTATCACTGTGCAGGCGAAGAGGGGCTAAAGGAGAATTCTCACGGGTTTTGGGAGGTGAGATTTAGATTACTGTCAGGGAGGGGAGAAATGGAATTTTTTGTAACTTGGGCCCAGAAAGTGGTCATTGCAGTGGTAGCCAGAGGTCAGCTGTAGTTGCATGTCACCAAAATTAGAACCTATGGATATTACTGACTTGGTACAGCCACTTTTCCAAGGATCTTTACATCTGTTTCCCTTTCTGAATACAGTAAAGTGAAAGTGACTGAATGATCTATGATAAATGTATTTTGAGTGTCTTATTTAATATTATACGTTAAATGTTAAGTTACATACACCATTAACTTACAAGGCTACTCTAACTTCGTAGCAGATAACATTTAGTGAATTGCAAATAATTCTATTGAAGGGTTTTTGCAAGAAAACAAACTTCACAAGCTAAGCTCAAATTTGTGTTCAAAATCACTACTTTGTATTTGTACAAAATGATGCAACATGCTCATTTTTCTTCAGAAGTTAGATAAAATATGCCACTACTATGCCAAATGAGGTGATGCAGCTTTTTGAAGATCTAGGCAGCTTGCTCTTGGATATATATTTTTTTTGTGATAAGGCCTTATTTCCTATATCTTTATTTGTACTCAGAGTTTTTAACCTCTTGGGAGAACTTGATTTTATTTTTTGTACACGGTTATGAAGATTCTTGCGCCTTCAAAAGTCTCTCCCGTCTGAGCTAGGTTGTTCCCTTTTCAACCTATCTCCAAGAGGCAGTGGTAGGGAGGAGGAAATGAGTAGTCAATATTTCACTCGAGTGCATGAAACCATAAGTTTATTGGGTAGTTGACTAGCTGACTACTTGCTAATGTTCCCAGGGCAGGAGTGTTATGATGCTGTGGCCAAATGGGGGCTGGACCCCAATTGGAGGCTTTTTGGCCAGGCTTCATTTTTAAATGAAGGAAAATATTATGTCCAACAAAATGGTTTCAACATTGTCTATAATTATGGCTGCTAAGTACAAGCTTATTGGGTAGTTGAGTGGAGTATTGACTACTTACTCCCCCTCTGTAGAGGCAGCAAGGGAGGGACCAAGAGCTGGTGCTGGGTGAGCCAGCTGGCTTAAAGGCTGATTTTTTTTCCCCAGCACCATCTCTACGGTGCTGCCTGCCCCCTCCCCTGCCTCTATTAGAAGCAGAGGGGGGAGATAGGGGAGGCTGTTCTGGTAGCAGCCTCTGTCCATGGTGGTCCCAGCTGTGAGCTGGGCCCCCTCGTCGATAGGGGCTGCTGGACTTGTGCTGGTCTGGGACACTGCATCTACATTTTAAATGTAGTAAGAGCCCTGGGGTCCTGCTTACGTTTAAAATGCAAAGCCGCAGGGTGGGTGGCTTCCGGAGTTGGCATGACCTGGGACTGCTCAGTGCTGGCTCCTGGAGCTACCCCTGCTGTGGCTCTGTAGACTGCCCTTTATTAACTAATCATGTAATTGATATAAATTGTATGAATTACACGATTAGCCACAACTGCAATTTAACATCCTCATCTCCTCCCCTTCCCCCACACATCGCAACCCTCACAGCCCATCATACACATGAACTTCTTCCCCTGAGCCCCTTATTCCCTGTACATCCCCAAACTCCTGCACCTCCCCAGCCCCTGCCATAAGGTTGACAGATGACGGCCTGAATGCATGCATGAAGCTGGATTTGACCAATTACGATAAAAACATCAGAGAAATGTGCACAAAAATGCAGCAAAAAGTCCCATTAAAGTCTGTGAGTACAATATTTAATTTATGCTACTGTTAATCATGTCAATATTAAGTTGCATATTTTCAGTCATGCAAATGGGCATTCTTATACAGCTGTTTGTTGACTCTGTTTTGAATTTTGATGTAGTTTGGCTTTTGGTTTTGAAAATGTTGCCGACCCC